GTTATCTAAAACAATATATGTTACATAACTTTGCAGACAATGTTTATGTTGCAAGACCCACAGCACACATTTCTGTTGGCAATCCAAATGCACACTTGTTACGTCACGACTAAAGGGGAAACCTGAGCATAAGACAATGTGTGACCCCCATTCTTCCCACTCCCAAGAAAACCAGCAAAGCAGTTCAAACTAGAAAATTCCCTCTGGGACATTTTAGACAAGGACAAGGAGCACACTTACAACAAATGTTTTTTTTTTTTTTTTTTTAAGTGTTTTGCTATACAACAGAAAAACAGAACCAGAGCTGCAGATGTTTGAAAAACTCCAATAATTGCTCTCTCTTTTATTTTTGGTTTGTCCCTTTTACTTCAGTACAAAATTTGTCTACAATTTTCTGCGACTTACATTGCAAACGTTCATGTACAATAGAGAGAAGTAAGAGCACACCCACACAAATTAAACTACATGTTTTGATATATAATTTATCCTACAACTTTTTAAGCTTTAGGACTAGTCGTGATTCGAAATTTGTCCGGAAGAGGAATAAGAAAAATCTGCAGAAAAACAACACACACTTCTCATAACTTTATGGGAAATGTATGTTGGTAACTCTTCATCTAACCACAGGTGCCTAAATGAAACAGACTGGATTACTTATCCACCCTCCCCGGGTGGCGTAGGTTCAGGCAAATTACCACCGAGAAACTATCGGTTTGTTGCAGATTTGTTGCTGTTGGTTTTTTAAAAAGGCCTCAGTATTAATCTTAACCTTCTGGACTGAAAAAAAGACTCCTTTCAAGGGTGAATACAACTTTAGCAGTCATGTCTGAAAAGTTAGTTTTCTTGAAAAAAGCAGTACTGTAATGGGGGTGAGACAAACAAGTTAACAACAAACTTTAAAGAGCAGGAAACACATTTTAACATCTGAATCATCATTTATCTACCGTTTCTTTGCCTGTACCAACTACAAACTGGAGTTAAACCGTGTGTACGAGTGTGTTCAAGATATAACAGTGTTTTAAGTTTTGAAAAAAAACTTAGTGGTCTTAATATTACCTTGTGGATCTGAGTAAACTTTGTCATGTCATGCAAAATATCAACACAGTAATAAGGAGTAAATCAGTGTCAGAAGGAATACATGAATGGAAATCCTGATTATTTGTCACTCTCTGAAAAAACCTACCTCTCTTTTCCTCAGTCCTGGTCCTTCCTTAGTCACCTCCCAGTTGTGGAGGTTCAGATGAGTGTGAAGGGCTGGTGGGAGGACAGCAAGGAGCAGACGGAGCGTCAGCTCCCTGCAGCAGGGGTCAACCTGAGGGAGGAGAGCAGCTGGCTGGACGTCCATGCCGACCAGGAGTACGTCCTTCAAGTGTCACTGAGGCGCATCAACATGGGCCAGCAGAGGGTCAGTGAACTCAACACCAGTACCCAGCCTTTATATGTGTAACATTAGGATGCTCTGATGGTGTCATAACACTGTGTGGATTTTAGTGGGAGAAAAGGACAGTACTGTGCTTGAAGCATCTCAGTATTTCAGAATCATACTTTCAGTGGAATCAGCACCAGGTACTGAGGATTAGTCTGGCCAGAATAAATCACAAATCAAAGGTCAGATTCTTCAGATATACAAACTATAGTCAGAAAAGTTCAAGAAAATGGGGTGCACAGATGGCTTAGCTGGTTATCACACCCCACATATGGAGGCTGTAGTCCTCTCAGTGGTCTTGGTTTAGAGTCCTGGCCCCAACCACGCTGCATGTCATCCCTTCTCTCTCCCACGTTTCTTGTCTCTCTCCACTGTCTTGTCATTAAAGACAAAATAAATAAATACATAACCCACAAAAAAAAAACTAAAAAATGAAAGAGAAGTTTCAAGAAACAGCCTCAGCACAAGTTCTTAAAGTACTTTTACATTCTGTTATCACGTCAGAAGTTTAGTCTTAACCTTTGAGTAGAACTAGATCAACACATCTTTGTCTTTACTTTGGTAAGAAATCACTATATTCAAAGGGGCATCATATTTTTAATGTTTTATTTTAATTTTGAGGTTTATTGTTATTTCATTCTTTCAATTTCAATTTCAAGAGCAGCTTTACCAACCCCTCAGCTGCAGCTCAGAGGTCTTATTCTTCTCCTTTCTGAGATCCTCATCAGGTATTTTGGAGATCATCCTCCAGCCTTTGGTTCCTAGAGACCAGCTCTTGATTCTGGTTGGTCAGGTGCATCAGTTCTTCTTCATGCTTCTGCTGCAGAGAGTCAGAAACCTCATGGTCCATCTGCAGAGATCTGTTTTTGCCTTGTTTCTCTTTGGGGTCTGAGGCCAGCTGGTCTGCTTCGTCCCTGATCTTCTGTACATCTCTGTCCTGCTGCTCCGCAAGGCTGTTCCTCAACACAGTTCAAAGAGATCAGGGACTCAGCTGACCTGATCTCTAACCCGTGTCACCCCCCCATCAATATGATGTGTTTTATGTTATTTTAGAGGAAACAGGACAGTAAGGCCCAGGCTCCTCGTTTCCCCAAAGCGAAGGATGAAGGCTGGTTCTTGGTGGTGGGCGAAGTGGACCGCAGAGAGCTGCTCGCGATCAAACGGGTCGGCTATGTACGAAACCGCACAGCTGTGTCCGTGGCCTTCTACACACCTGAGAGGACTGGAAGGTAGGCAGTAAATAAATACAGACTTCTCCATTTACAGTAAGAGGAAACACCTGAGCAGGTGAGCTTATCGAAACCGTGTGCAAAAAATGATTCAGAAAAGGCTAACTGTATGAACGACAACCAAGAAGTGGGGGAAGAATCACAAGAGACAGAAGACAGACGAGTCATTTAATCCACTCATCCCGAGACCCACAGTGTCAGTGACGAACTCTGTGGATCTCTTCTATCCGACAGAGGATATGAAGATAATTTTCAGTTTCTGTAGACCCACCTCCTGAAAAACAGAGAAAATCTATGATGATTTGTCTTTATTTGATAAGCAGCATGTACCATGTTTCGCTAAAGCAGCAACAGCAATAAAACCTGTAATGAAACTCGTGTTGGTTCTGTGTGGAATAGAGTTGACCCACATAAGAACTTGTAAAACAGTAAAGAATCTGATCCATAAGCAGAATCAATAATGGCATTTAATGTCAATAAAATTAGAATAAGTCCCATCCCCGTGTTTTTGAGGTTACTGTCAGAGGTTAAATTAAAAACGCTTTCACCAAATAGAACTGAGTCAAGTTCACAAGAGAGCGAATAACATAACATGTAGCGCCCCCCCACAGCGCTGCCCAGCAGAGAGCGCTAGTGTTACACTTAATATACCTGTGTCTGGGTAACCTCTTAAATATACATTACAGATTTTACATTACCGCTGGTCATTGATTGCATGCGACTAATGATGACAAACAATGAAAAGAGGAACCACTCCCTCCACCAAAGGTTTGTATTTTGTGCACACAAGTTGTAATCTGCAGACACAGGATAAAAATCATCGCCAAACAAGACTTAAGGAGCTCCATAGAGAATACTTTTCACCTCTGGTAATGTTATAGTGACCTTCGTTACTGTCAGTCGAAATGTGTGCAGCATTAGCACAGGTATAACCAACCTTGGATCAATAGTTTCCTTCTGTTGGCCTCTATGGGGAAACCAGGAGAAGCAGCATGAAAGCTAAGCTAGAGGCACTGCAAACGAGGTCCATTTTTCCAACAGATGACGCTGATTTTAACAGACTTTGACCAAACATTACCATTGCTGTAAGAGTCATGAAATTCATAAAATTTCTTCAAATTCCTTATTTTTACTCTTGAGATATCTTAAAGTCTTGAAGGGGGATGCCTGACCTGCCAAAATACTGATCAAATAAACACGGTTTAGGTGGAGTTATATGAGATTACACTATCCTTTTTGTGGATTAGCTTGTTCAAGTGACAAAACAACATTTAAAGCAGCATATTATGTACACACTCACAAGTGATGGATGGAGGAAATCTGATGTCAAGATGACAATTAAAGTGGATGAGTGGATTTAAGTTTTATACTTGGTCTTGCAGAAAACCAGTTTACTCTGCAGTCAGGAAGCTGCTGTGTTGTAGCTGTGCTTATGAAGAAATCAGCCATATTTCTCTTCTGAAGGTCCTGGACTTGACAGAAACACAAGTGTCTTCAGAGGGCTGGGCTCTGAAGTACTTTTCAAATAATGGGATGAATTTTTTTTAAAGAAGCAGTAGGACAAATGGAGTTCTCCTCAGGTTCATTACATTCTTCTCCTGCTGTGTGTGTGTGTCCATGCTAATACTCTGACTATAATCCATCCACCTTCTGTCTCCAGGTGTATCTACACACTCTACCTGATGAGTGACAGTTACCTGGGACTGGACCAGCAATACGACATCCACCTGAATGTAACTCCTGCCAGCATAGCAGCTCAAGTCAACACAGAGGTGTCTGACACAGTGGCCGACCTGACTCTCAGCTGAGCACAGAAACACTTTATTATCATCCTCAGCAGGAAAACAGCTTCACAATCACCTGATTCCTTCTTTCTCCAGTTCATTTTGTGTCAAATTGGATCCTCTCTGCTTTGGTTCAGGTTCGGTTTCCTGTGTTGATGTTCACATCTTACTTTTCTGCTTTACCTACAGGTTAATTAAAGTCACTGTTGAAGTAAACGTGTGTGCGCTGGGGCCTTCTCTTGTCTGATTTTTGAAAAGGCTAATGTTGTGATTTTATATCCTATTTTTACAACCAACAGAGTAACTTTGATATTCCAGTTTTCTTGCTGCATATAGAAAAGAAACCATAAGAGAGAAATCTCTTCAACCTAAAAAAGTGTTTTGTTTGTTTTGACACGGTAACAGCTGAGTCATTGCTCTCTTTTAAGAAGTTGCTGGTTTATCAGATCACTTATTGGTCAATTCTTGGCTGATTATGAAAGTTCACAATATATGAAGAGTCAACAAAGGCATAAACTAACTAACAGGCAATAAAACTCATGGACCTCACTAACCATCTGATTTGGAGTCCCAATCGCGAATGAATAATAGAGTTTTCTTACCTTTAGCTATTATGTTGCTGAGGACCCCAGAATTTACATTAAACATCATCCAGTTCAGGTTGACTTCCTTTAGTGCCTGATGGATTGCTCCTGTTTATACATTGACACCTCATGGACTTGCTGGATTGTATGTCCTTCTTGCAGCTATACTGCTGATGGCATTCTGAAGAGGAGCTCATTCCCATGCTCATTACCATGATCCTATAATAACTAACATTTACAAGCAGGAGCAGTTGGCTGACCTTCTGAGCTCTCACTCAGTGGTAGAACGATTTGACAGCGTTGTCAAAGGTGAGATGGCTGGCTGGACATTTACTCTTACTGATAGAAAAGACAAAGTGTGTCCAGTAGGAACAATCAAGAGCATTCAAGTCCACAGATAATTGGAGCTTATTAACAAGGCGATGTCATGAAGAAAGATGACAAAGATAACCATCATTTCAAGATTTTAATGTGCAAGGGAAAACTGATTTATACAGGAAATCCATGAGAGACTATTTTACCGTGTCAACAATTTTCCTTTCTGCATTTATCTAATAAAATATTATCTCAACTTTAATGATTTTTCTTTTCTATGGAGCCCCTGAAGGGACATAGATGAAATAACAAAAAAATAATTTTCTCGAGATTTTTTTGCGAGACTTCGTGAAACTATTACGAGCTCTTACAATGGTTGTGCAAACACATCTCTGACCAAGCTGTTGGAGGTGGAGTTGCATTGTGGGTAATGTAGGCACCAGGTTCAAAGACAGGAATTCATCATTTTTGTACGCTCAGACTCATCTATCACTGTAGTTTGTAGTTACAAAGATCCTGATAAAGTGGCAGTCAGATACAAACTGTGCTGCTGAGTGAATGAATTTTGGCTTTCCGACTTTACGCAGCCTTATCAGATCCTTATGAGGTTCTGCTGATGTAAACTGGTTCAGGAAGTTCTTTCTGATTGTCTCATACAGTTGGCAAATAAGGAGAAAATGGTTGTCTTTTCTATTTATTTTTACAAACTATTTCTTCTCTTAAAACCTAGTTTTTATGACAGCCTGTCTCAATTTCTAGTTTTTGGTAACTGAGTCTGCACATTGTTGTTCTGCTTGTCTGTAGTTTTAATTTGTAATTTGGAGAGGTAATGGAGGTCTTGGTTCTCTCATTGGGGGCTTTTTTTTTACTCTTTTCAGGGGTATCAGTTTCTGGGCAGACTGTTTCTTGGAAAAGCCATGTGGTGGTAAGATTCAGGATCAGTTTGTGCCAAGTGCACCTGGAATTTATAGCTCTTTTGATCATATGGAGCAGTAGAGGGAGTTCTCTCAGTTCTGCTCTGCGTGCCAGGTCTGTACAGTTTCTGTGAACTTTGAGGATTTCCTTACTGAAGTGAAGATGAAATTTCTCACTTGGGTTTGTGTCCCAAGATATTTGCCTCTGATTCATCACAGGGCCCCATACCTCACTGCCATTACTTTAGGATGTGTTAAATAATGTTTCAAAGTAATTCCATCCATCCATCCATCTTCAGCCTCTTATCCAGAATCAGGTCGTGGGGGGCAGCAGCCTCAGCAAGGAAGCCCACTTTTGGATGACCCAGTGACAGCAGTGAATTGCATCAAAAGTCAGCCACTGCAGTCACTAATGTTTTCAATAACGTGTGGAGATGAGAGGTCAAGACAGCAGGTTCTCTAATTCACCAAAGTCTGATGACTATCATACACTATGATCCTCTCTCTTGTTTTGGACTGCAAGACAAAACCTAAGCATTTTCATTAACTCCTGGTATGAACTGGAGGATCACTTCTTTGATTTCATGTGCCTCTGTGTCTTGGCATACCTTGCTGATAATTTGAGCGACTTGGATACTGAAGTAAGAGTCCTTTGAATATATGAGAACAGAAGCAGATCCAGTCCTCTGTGGCAGGTACCATCAGAGACCACCTCAACACCCTGAGGAGTCTGGGAGTTCTTCCCTGTGCTCATCAAGCAACATGGTTGACTACAAAATCTGTGAGCCTCCCAAACTGTGACTGCTATCACAAGCCTCACTTAAAGAGAGAAGGACCGCCTTGAAGAGTGACCTTGTGATATTTCCTGAAACTGATCTTCACACTGAAGCTCTCGACACATATGATTTATCTAACTGAGCACTGAGGCAAGAATTATAACTTGAAACCCTTGTCAATAATTTACTAGCTTCAACATTATCACTGTGACTCAAAGCTGTAAAGATCATGTTCTTCGACTTTTCAAGTGCATTCAACACCATCCAACCCACCATACTCAAAGACAAGCTCACAGAGATGGGAGTGGATCCTTCCTGTGTTTCCTCGATCACAGATTACCTGACAGGAAGGCCACAGTTTGTCAGACTGGGGAGCTGTGTTTCTGGGACATCAATGAGCAGTACAGGGACCCCACAAGGGACAGTGCTGGCGCCATTCCTGTTCACACTGTACACGTCAGACTTCAGATACAGCACTGAGTCCTGCCACATCCAGAAATACTCAGATGACCCCGCTACTGTGGCATGTATACGGACAAGAAGCTGAACACAGAGATCTGACAAGATCCTTCAGTGACTGGAGTCACAAAAACTGCCTCCTCCTCAACACCTCAAAGACAAAGGAGATGGTCATAGACTTCTGTAGATCCAAACCCCCTCTTCAGCCAGAGAACACCTGTGGAGTGGACATCGAAGTGGTGCGGTCATATAAATATCTTGGTCTACACTTGGATAATAAGTTGGACTGGTCTAAGAACATAGACTTCATCTACAAAAAGGGGCAGAGCCGCCTCTTTAGCGTGAGAAGACGCCGATCAATAGACATCTGTAGTAAGATGCTGCAGATGTTTGTTATTATGGCATATTTAGTGAACCACTTATAATTTCCCCCTTTTCCTGTTGACAATGTTGCAAACACCCACTTTTCAAGAGCATTTGTATGATATTTTTGATCATCTTTTATTATTACCTCCTCTCAGTTTGTTTGGAGAGCACAAACTGTTAGGTTGGTAGTTAATGGGGGAACAGTGAGAAAAGAAAATGAACAGGTACAACAGCTCTGGAATTAGTAAGGGTTTTTTAAGGAGGTCAACACTGTAAAGGCTTTTGTGGGAGAAGTTTCAGGGGAAGGACCAGGGATTTTCTGCATCTGTTAAGATTCACCAAAGAAAAATGCAGATGTTTCCACTCTGACCACCAGATAATGGTCGGGCTTTAAAAGCCTTTTAACAAAACATTAGGTTTTACGCTATTTTGTGCAGCAAGAAGGCTGACAAGTATGTGGTCCTTGGAGTTGAAAGCAAATCAGCGTTGAGCTCTGACTGGTGCGACAATCTTCACTGCAAGGCAAAAACAAGGTGACGGTTATACAGTGTTAAATCCACAAAAACAAAATGTGAATATTTATATTGAATTTTCACAAAACAATTTGAAGTTTTAAATAAAAAGACACCAGCTAACATACACAAATTAATTTAAAGAATGATTAAAAAAACAACTTAAAAAAATAAATAAAAATAGTTCAAAGTTCATTTGTACCTGGCTTTGCTGACCAAAGGGCACTAATCCTCTCGTGGGGTTGAAAACTCCTTATTTCACACAAATAGCTGTGATATTTTCAACAATCAAAACAAAAGATTAATAAAAAAAATAAAGCATAACATGGACGTTTTTGCCTGCTTGGTTGTAATCAGTGGCCCCTCCTCAGGTATTTAAGTTGTTGACACACCTGCCACCCTGGAACCTGAATACCACCGTTTTGCTCAGGTGGCCACTTACGCCTACGTTGCCATGGAAGCGCTACCAACCGACAGAGGTTTCTTTTTTTCCAAGCTTTATAAAGAGGTTTTAGGCCACTTGTTTTTATAAATCCCTTCAATCCTCTTTAGATCAATATTTAACGTGGGATTGTTTATATACTTAGCTTATATGGTTCTATCGAAAAGACAAATCCAGGCAAACATTATAGTGCTCTTTATGTGCTCATATAGTTGCTTTAGTTGTAGATGTGAAAGAAAACCTCAGCAAATATTCATACATTACCTTATTTATTCTAAATTGATCACAAAAAGTCATCCTGCTTCACAGTCCTCCTCTTTCAGTCCGGATATTCAGATTAACTTCTAATTTAGATCTTCAGAGTTATTTACCACTGAGTTTGGTCACAGCCCAGACCTCATGTAGCCTAAATACACTTTCTCTTATTAATAAAACATTAACAGGTCGCAATATATATTCAGCATCTCGTGTTTTAACCTGCTAAAATTTAGAAGAGCTTGTTTTTAACGGGGCAGTAATTAAATCTCAGTGTAAGCCAAACACATGTGTAACAAAAATGTCCATTTTGGATCATGACTTTACGGTCCTGAAGAAAATTGTAGGTAAAAGACTCTGTGTACAATTGAAATTTCTAAACATTACAAAAGTAAGAAAAAAAGTTTGCAGTTTTACAAATATTTTTGGTTTGGTGCAGAAACTGTTTAGAAAGTAAAAAGTAAATGAAAAGTGTGATCGGACGGTTTGTACTCAGACAGTGTAAATTCGGCTGTATGTCCCGAGTGTAAGAGCATCATGTTCAGATTATTAAAGGTCTGAAGGTGATCTTAATTTGATAAAGGTAATGTCTCGGACTGAGTTTTCTTGGCTTTAACATTTCTACCGTAGAATGAGCGAGCCTTTTCATCCACTTTGGGCCAGAGGTGAACACTTCCACCAGCCAATCTCTGTTTCTCCAATGGCGCGTCACTGTTTATGGCAGCCAATGGCGATATAAAGGGTATATCTGATCGTCCAATGGGAGCATAGATGCCTTTAGTGGGCGGGACTTTAAACAGGGTTCACTTACGAGACGGTGGACCTGATTGTATCTACGAAATCAGACAGTGAAGAAATGCGAGAGCCGGGCTTTCTGGAGGATCTGTGTGGATACTTTTGAGCTCAACAGAACTCGGTTTGGAAAAAAGGTGTTGTTCGAATCTACAATGAGGTAAGAGAATGAGTATATAAGGATAAATGTGTTGTTTTCTTTAAATTTAAAGCTTTAATTTCTGTGTCAATATTCAAACATGTGTTCTGGTGGAGTAACGCGTCCGTTTTACGCGCAGACACTAAAGGTTCCTCCTTCAAACTAAAGGTCTCTGTGATTATTTCCTCCATCTGAAAAGGCCTAATGTCTCCACCTGTTTCTTAACAACCTTTTACTACAGGTGTGATGGACCCATGTGTGCGGTGAGCCCTCCAACGGGCTAACCAGAGCTCTCTCAATAAGCTTATAAAATCCAGGAATTAGCCGCATCCTGCTCGGGGAACATCTGGGATATATGGGAATGTGTTTACGCGCCCGCAGCTGTGGATTTTAGGGCCGAGCAGAGGAGGAGATTTGACGCGTAAAGATCCGGTGGGATGCTATGAGTCGGGCGGACAGAGAGTGACCGACAGGGAACAGTGAAGAGGAGTAAAAGAAGATGAAGGAGAAATCTAAAAACGCGGCCCGGACTCGGAGGGAGAAAGAAAACAGTGAATTTTATGAACTGGCCAAACTGCTGCCGCTGCCCTCCGCGATCACCTCCCAACTGGACAAAGCGTCCATCATCAGACTGACCACCAGCTACCTGAAGATGAGGATTGTCTTCCCTGAAGGTGAGAGGCCGTTTTAATTATACAACATTAATAGACCAAATCAGCTTAATTGATTTCAATTGAATAAAATACATAAAAGGAAATCCACTAGTTTTATTTTACCGTCCAATTGGTTTAAAAAACATATTTGGTGAATATTTTAATTTTGCTTTCAGAAGCCATTGAGGTTGGAAATAATCTTTATTGTCATATTTTAATTTAATTTAGTATGTCCTTGTCTACAATTTTCATTTTTCAACAATGCGTTTTTGTTTTTTCCATCTCGACACAATTTCCATCCGCCATCAGATTAAACAAACTCAGCCACGTTATTTGTTTACTGCGCAAAGTAAATATGTTTCAAATAGCTAAATAAAGTAAACCTTTTTTTATAAATATATACAATTGTGGAAAAACAACATGAACAGACGAGGTTTTATTCATATTTTTATCCATTCATTTCCTGGAGAGTAGAGGATCTAAATACGCGTAAAGGCATTAAAATCCGAAATGTACGCACGATTGAACTGTGAAGAGGTTTTCGTTGTAGGTTATAACATGACTCCTTAATTGTTTCTTATCATTTATCATTTTTTCCTGGAGTCTCGGGAAAATCTGATGTTCAATGTATTAATCGTATTTTGGAGCAAGAGGACATATTCGAAACGGAGAAGAAGCTGCAGGCCTATCGTGTGTCCTATAATCCCTCCAATTTAAATGCATTCATAAACAAAAAACACCTAAATGTAACGAAAGTGCAGCATGAGGATATCAAGATTAACATATTGTAAGCTTTAGTAATAGTTTGATCAGGTTCTATTTTCCTGATGTGTTTGGATAAAATCACATTCATAGTCCGCCGCCAGCCAGCAGTGATGTGGTTTCTCTCCGGGGCCTCTGGTGGCCCCTGGCAGCAGATTAGCTGAGATGAGGCTCCATCCTTCCTGCGTGACTACTGCAGAGATGCGGATATTAGTATGATGTGCACGTCTGATCCCCCAACATATGGAGCTTCTTGTAACAGTAAAGCAGGAGGGTGGTGCCGAAAGATGGAGCGACAGAGAACATGGATGCTCACACACAGACGACAGAATCAGAGACACATATAGGGCAGTGTTTAAAAATAAAAAGGGTATTATTAGTGTGTACTTTTCTCCTGCACTTTTAATCAGTCTCTACGGCGCCGAAAGAGCAGGTCTAGACATACTTTGTGTTATATTTCATAAGAGCAAATATCAAGGTTTGAATCAGAATGAGAAACCCGTCAGATTCAGGAGGAAAATCCTTTAATCCTACAAAAGACACAGCACACAGAAGAAGAAAAGAAAAAGCTTTAAGTCAAATCTAATCTAGTTAGTGAAATGCTGCGGTGTTGTAAACAAATCACGCAAAGGATTGCAACTTAAAATAGACACAAACACTACAAATTATAGTGACAAATTTTCACAAATGATTACAGAAACTTTTCTTTTCGACACATTTACCATCAAGGTTTTCAATTTCAATTTTGCACAAGCCAGATTTATGAAAGAAAACATGAATCAATAACTTTATTTGACCTTTTTGTGTTTTGTATTTTTACATTTTGCAAATATAGTAACCTGTGTCTTTGCATAAACAAATATTATTTTCCTAACGTACTTTACGCTGACAAGTTCCTAAAAGAACAAACAAAGATCACTATGAAGCACATTATCGTTGACATTTGAGACACATAAGTCTGTAAATGTCAAAATTAAACATACAAAGTCACAGTCCTTCTCTAAGCACATGTAAGGAACTGCTTTCAGCGTGTTAAAGAAGCACAGACCCGGTGAAAAGTTCCTTTCAAAGAAGCCGTCTTAGTCAGTTTCTCTGCCGTTGGTAAAATTGGTGTGTCTTTTGTTGCAGTAACTAATATCTTTTTTCTGTCAATGAGTCCTGATTTCACTCTGATCCTCCTCCAGTGCGTCTTCTATCTAAACCACAGTGATTTCAAAAATGTTGAGTGTGTAAACAGAAAAACCTGTGAGCAGTCAGGGTGGTTAGCTTTCTCCCTGAACTGACTGTTACATTGAGACGTCATTGTTTGTGTAAGATTTTAAGGAGCACTTAAGTGTGTTTAGCATAAATAAGTTAAAAAACAAACGTCGTCTCTGCGCGGCGCAGCTCTCAGTCTGCGTTTCTGTCAGTCTGCTGAGCTTCTCTCTGTGCTGGTTCACATGTGCGCTGACATCGGCATGTAGTGAATAATTCAGAAGACAATCTGTGTCGTGCAGAGCTGCAGGATTTGACTCTTCCTCCTGTGTCTGCAGACTGTGATGTGTTTTTTTACTCATTAAATCACCTCTGCTGCTTTAAAGAGAAGGCCTCTACACACACACACACACACACACACACACACACACGCACAGTTCAGATGTGATGATTGAGTCTGTGAAGACGCTCATCTGAAGAGGCTCTGCATGAGAGGGAAGAGGAAGAGCTGAAAGTGTTCTTCATTTGGAGGAGGATTTGTTCTTTTTGTCTCAGGTGTGTGTGTGTGTGTGTTAATGTGTGTTAGTGTGTGTAAGGGTTGAGAGGGGTCACTTTCCTTTACAGCCCTCAGAGTGGTCAGCGTTACGACCTTTGACCTCAGCCATGTTGTCTTAAATTACACGACACTCCACACCACAAATATCTGTCTGAATTCTCGACACCCCGGCCCTCAAATGAGCTGTAACCCCTCAGAAAGAAGAACTAACTCTGATTGGATGAACTCACTGATTTCAATGATGTTAATTCACTCTTTATTCAGCTTTATAGAGATTAAATCTGATTATAACCCACAGCTGTTTAGAAACAGCAGAGTGGAGTGGGTGAATAAGGATCAAGATAACAATGTGTGATGTTGTTGGATAATAAAATCACAGCTCACTGGATTGCCACTCTGCTCTCTCCTGATTGGTCACTTCCCCTCTAGTTTCTCAGACTATGGAGAATGATGTGTGAATAATGGACACACACGTTTAAGTGTCTCTTTTATTTATGACCATACTTTCATAATCGGCATGGGGTTATTGTTCTCTGCTTGGCATTAGAAGCAATAAATGAGCATTTTACACTAAATCTCAAATAAGTTAGTTCTCATTCTTCTACTCTTGGTTGAGGATTATGAGAAGACTTTGGTCGTGCTGGTAACTGGTGTATTTTTTGCTCTTTTTAAATTGAAGTCTATGTGGAACAAAACTTTATTCAACCACTTCAGGGCTCAAACTCCATAGGCCTAGATTCCTGATGCTGTTTTCGCCCCAATTGACAAATCCATGGAAGCTTTGTATAAATAAATAAATAAAAAAAATCGATATGATTTAGAAACATAAACAAAAAAATGTTAAAAAAATGAATACAAAAAAGAAAATAATAATAAAAGTAATAATAATAATAATGATAATAATAAAAACAAAGATCTATATAAAGTTAATTTTTATATAATAATAATAATAATAATAATAATAATAATAATAATAATAATAATAATAATAATAATAATAATGATAAAAACAAAGATCTATATAAAGTTTATTTTTGTCATGTTTGGACATTTTCTACCAAGCTGATAAAGTCAAAGATAAAAGGGGAATCCGCGACGACAACGACCTTTATTAACCTATTTTTTTAACTGTTACCAGGCAGATGATTGATCTCCAATAACGTCGATTAAATATATGAATTGTAATAATCTCCCATCAAACTGTAAGAGGGTTTCATGTTGAAGGTTTTTTTAAGTGAAAAAAATCTGAATGACAAAAGCAAAATTAATCTTTTGTTTAAAAAAAACAGAGCGTCTAGGTCAACTTTAACAAAATTCATCGCGTCTCCTTCAAAATAAAAGTCGCCGTTGAGCACTTCATCTGTCTCTGCAGCTTTTTGAATAAATACCGAGGTTTAGTAGAAAAGAATATTTTTTTATGTTTAACTTTCGAATATCGATTGTCAGAGATGTTTTAAAGCTGTAATGTGGGCTCTACTTTTTCATGCTCGGCTTGACCTTTGTTTTTGTTTTGTTTTTTAACTTAAAACAAGAGAGAGAAAAAACGGCTTAAGGCATAAGACAAAACGGAGTATATCGTTGTTGAATTCAAAGAAATAACTTCAAGCTCTAAAAACTCGGTGAAAATGATGATTTTCTCTTTCAAATCGCACTTTTATTATTCCTTTAGCCAATAACCATATTTCTCTCCTGTGAGACTAATCGCTGTTTAGTGACCTTTTTTGTCATTTTCTGTATAAATACCCTCGTTTCATTTCATTTTATTCTGAATTTGCTTATTAAGATAAGCGAAGATAAGTCTTTATTAGTCGCACAAAAGGAAAATTAAACTAATTAATCGATGCAGAAAAGCTCGATTAAATGTTTGTCACACCACTGACTGGATCGATTCATGTCTTTGGTTTTATTCACGTCCTTAAAGGGAAACCATAATAATAATAATAATAATAATAATAATAATAATAATAATAATGATAATGATGTTTTTGTTGTTGTCATTATTTTCATTATTATTGTTTTTGTTGGTGGTGTTATTATTATTATTATTATTATTGTTGTTGTTGACGTTATTATTATTATTATTATTATTATTGTTGTTGTTGTTGTTGTTGTTGTTGTTGTTGTTGTTTTAATTCTGTGAGGACTACTTGACTCGTGTTCATTGAAATTTGAACATTCTACCTGTTTATTTTCCTAAAAGCAGATCACTCTTTCACCTTCAGTCAGTCTCTGTATTAAACTAAAGTAGTGAGTGGATCTATTTGTGCGTCCTGCTCCTGACTGTCAAACAGCGTGGGTTTTTTTTTCATGCATCACCAAACGCATTGAAATCCACTCTCCGTCTTTATTCTTCTGTGATTTGAAGTGGATTTATTATTGAGCCCAGTTGTGGGTTTTCTTGGGGGGTAATTTGATTGTGTTTTTAATGCAGACGTGGAGTCCATCTTCGCTCCATGGGAAGCGTGCGGGCTGCGGGGCGCGGTGATCCCCGCACGCCGCCTGTTTGCTCTGCAGAGCGGGATTTGCATGTCAATGCTGCTGCTGCAGAGTCTCCTGTTTGCTCGGAGCCCCCCTCAGTCCAGATGAAATGTTAGTTTTCACTGCTGCTGGGAAAAGAAAATGTTTCCAGCTTCTGCAGTGATCCGGTAAAAGTGTGATCCGGTCTAAGTTTAGGTTTGGTGTATTTTTAGAGCTGCAGCTCTTTAACGAGCCTGTCCTGACTGCAAAGGCTGTAATTCACAGTGTATCACTGCAGAGAGAAACGCTGTGCCCTCAGCAGAGACTGGGTCTCGTTTCTCCTGCTGTTTTAGTGGTGACGATGTTCCTGCTCGGACTCTGAGGCTCTTCTCTGTCAACTTCACAGATTTTTCAGTAAATAAGAGTATATAAGAGTGTGACATTTATGTGTTTTACATGTACTATTTTATCTAAACCTCTGATAATAAAGTCAAAATATAATGATACACCCTGATATCTGATCCCCAAAAGGTCAAGTGTATGGGGAGTGTGAGAAAAATCCAATTGCACTTTGTTATTTTAAAATGAAAAGCTGTTGAAACATTAATATTTGGCACCAGTAATATGGTCACAAGTCCCACGTAGCTTAAATTTCTTTTTCACAGATGATTAAAAATGTGTTTGTGCCAAGAGTTCAGCCTTGACATTTGATCAAATGAGGCCTGGATGTCCAGAACCTGATGTCCAAAATATGGTTGAGGTCTCAGTGTGTATAAAATGAAGGGCTGCCAAATGATAATTTTGTAACAGCTTTTAATTACATTTTCAAATCACTTGTTCAAAATGCCATTATGTTGCATTTCTAAAAAAGAATGAATGCCATTACTGATCTAAAGCAAATCTTACCAGTGTCTTGAGTTCAGTGAAATGAACTGTTGGATTAATTATCCAAACAAAGGCTGCACTTATGAATGAGTGAGTCATGGAAAAACATGAAAACATGACAGCTTTACAGTGCTCTTTCTGTCAAATACAGTGTTGGTTTTCATTATTTTAAAAATACTTTGGGGCATTTTTGCTTTTGCTAGAAACGAGACAGGGAATGTGAGAGGCAAAGACTGTGAGAACACATGCAGCAAATCAGTGACCCATATTTGAAGCTACTGAACGATAATGGAGCTCTTTTTCCTTCATAAACGTGACGCTCTTTTAGATAAAAGAAGATAAAAGTGAGCATGCCGGCAGTATTTCTTCAAAGTAAAGTTCCTTTACCAAATTTACAGCTTTTGCATTCACATGCTTTCAAACACTCTTTGCAGGTATCAAAGATTACAGTCTTCATTAGTCCTGATAGGTGTTGATATGAATTTCAGTCTCATGTACGAACTCAAAAAACTCCTCTTAGGAGCTTTACGTTTTGGTGAATTGTTCTTTTAAGGACTGTAATACAGACAGAAATTGTGATTTTGTTGGTATTTCTGTTCCATAGTTTTCATACCATCGTTGAAGTCTTATCCCCTATCTGAGACAAGTACCCTCTTAGACATACTGTTAGTAAAACATTGTAACATGCCCTCTGCGGTGCCCCCTTCCTTTAAAATTTGCTTCAGCAGCTGCCTCTCTAAAGTATTAGACATGACAGAGTGCGCTCTGAATGCACTTTAAGTTTGTGAAATATTTAAATTAAAAAAAGGAGCCTTCTGGATGCTCTTTCAGTAGAAATAAGATCTAAAAACATGCTCGGACCTCCCTCCAAATAGATGAAATGAAAAAATAATAATGTGGCCTTGCCATACAGTGTATGTTTGGTTGACATAAACGTTTAAGAGCCAAGACAAATACATAGAAAGAATTAAAAATATAATATATATATAAGTGTTGACTCATTTTGTTCTTTAATTTACATTTAATCACATAGTCCATGAAAACAATGACTGATCAAATCTGCTCAGAATTTGGACTCCAGGCAGGAAGTCGCATGGCTTTCTAGATGATTATCTATGAATAATTTTGTGTTTTTCTTTTACATTTCCTCCAACAAATATTGCATGTTTTGCACGCTCAAAGTTTCCTAACCCCCCCTCCTATCATGTGCACTAACATAGCCTATGTTTAAATGAACCCTGTGCTGTTGGTACCAGGGGTTTGAAAAACTATTCCAGTCATGTATCTTCAGGGCCGTCAGGGGTTTCCAAAAGAAAACTTTTTCTAGCCCACCGTTATTTTTGACAGACTACATTTGCGAAGAATGAAGAGAAAGAGGACACACAGAGGCAAGTAGGCTGTAAACATGAATATGAAGGAAGAGGGACCTAATAACATTGTTAAGTGAAACCCACAAGGAGCGACTTACGGTAGTGAGTGTAAGACTTGTTTATTCATGGGATCATTTATGACTGAGGGTTTTGATGAAGTAACTGTTGGTACAGTCATTTTAGCGTCAGCTTACAGGATAATGTGGGCCCAGTCTGGTGACAGTTGCAGATTTTCAGGTGAAATCTTGGTCTAAACAAAGACATTGACAACATCTACAACTAGTGCAAAAACTCTCACTTTGCCACTTTTCCACCAGAAAAACAGCACCGTGAATCAGAGAGAGTATGTTTCCTTTGTTGTTGGTGTTGTTGTTGTAGTTGAAGATAGGAGAAAAGCAAAGTTTCCAGAAGGCTTTTTTTTTTCTGGTGGTCAGTTGTGGCTGGAAATATAATAGGATCCATCACACAGAGCAACAAAACACCACTGCTGGGATTACATTGAAAAATCAGATTAAAGACAATGCATCCAAACTTCACACCAGCAGAGAGGAAGAGAGAGAAAGGCCTTTTTATAATTAATTTACTTAGACGTATAAGGCCATGGAGCTGTCTTAACACTTCACGTTATATCTTCTTTTTTTTTTTCTATAAAGCTAAAGCGTATAATATAGTGTATTTCCTAAGTAACTGAGAAAAGACTAGTTTTCAACACCCTCCCAACAATCATTTCCACCTCTATCACATTTCCACTCCCATTACGAGTGTACTGGTGAGGTTTCATACAGCTCGCAATCTTGAACCAGCTCTGAACAAGTACCAGGACCACTCTGGTTGAAAAGGAGTATTTGAAACCAGTTTTCAATGTCTTTTCAAATGTTGATTCAATGATTTTCTTGTAAGTGTAAAAGTGTTCACTAGGTTAAAATTCTCTTGTGTGTGTGTGTGTGTAATTTGTTTTTTTTTTCAGGTCTTGGGGAGTCTTGGGGTCACGTGAGCCGCAGCAGTTCTCTGGACGGGGTCAGTCAGGAACTGGGCTCACATCTCTTACAGGTACTTTACTCTGTGTGGTTTATTCTGAGTGTTAACACTTCAAGAGCAAATTCACAAAAGCTTTATGAGTGACCGAGCTGCCACAAGGTCACCTAAATGGTTTATTTACCATGTTAGAATGAAAAATTAAAATTTTTACAACCTATTCAGCGAGGATTATTCAGGCGGAGCTGCTGTGCATGTGTGTGTGTGTGTGAGTGTGTGTGTGTTGGTTTTATGTGTGTGTGTGTGTGGTTAAGTGGCTGCTACCATCTGCCTCCCACTGCCTCCATTCTTGTTGCTTTAAGAGCGAAATGAGCTGAACACATTCCTGGTCACGCACGGCGCCTCAGTCTGTCCTGCAGCCCGTCTCACATCAGCTGCAGCACAAAGGAGCAGGACTGCTGAATTACAGGAGGACAGGGCTGTGGGTTTACTAAGACAGAGTAAGACAGCAGCAAAATAGGAGCACGTGGGTGACAAAATATCAAAAAAAAAAAGAATGAAAGGGCCTGAAATACTTTTTATAATGGCGGCATGGGTCTTTCTAATTCAAACCAACTAGCCAACCAAGACAGCTAAAGACCCCAAACCCCACTTTCTGCAGGGTAAGATCATTTTTTTGTGTGTGTTTGTTTTGTTTTTATGAATAGAGTCCGTTAGCTTGGTTGACATACATGTATATATATGTACAAGGCTTTCGCAGGGATCTTGTAGGAAGCATTTTATTTTCTATTTTTGTTATAAATATGAGACATCAGAGGGGAAACATAATAAGTAGAGAAAGAAGAAGAAAAACTGTGTTAAGAAAAACAAGAAATAACATGAACTCTTAGGCAAAGCAGCACCATGAAGAAATAAAAGAAGAGGTAAATATCACAAAATAACTCTGCTCACATTTGCTTTCACTTTTTATAAAACATAAACAGAATGCCAACTCAGAACGACCCTTTACCTTACCTAAAGCCCTTTTCAAATATGCACAAAGCTCCTAAAATGAAACACTTCTTGATGATTCAAAAATAAAAAATAAAACTCACCCAAACATGCAAATTAACGCTGGGGAGGAGGCGACTGCTTTATGCTGTATCAGTTTTTATCAAACATAGTTGAGGGTGACTATACTTTGAGGATTTGTGGTGTCCTCATTGACCTCCTCACCCACCTCTAGTGACCTCTTTTTATTTACCATTTACATAAAAAAAAAAAAAAGTGATACTGCAAAAATTGATAGCTCAGGATATAGCTGCACACCATACCTTCAATGACTTGATGTGTTGATATGAAGGTTTTAGGAATAATTACGGATCTGTCTCTGTGTGCCAACTTTTTAAAATATCGCACTGACATCACGGACAACACAGCAGTAAATTTGCGGACATACTGTACAAGAGGTTGAAAGTGGAATGAAAATAAAGAGATAAACCATTAATAAAACATAAAGAAGAGTAAATCTAAAGTATGAGTTGTTTTGATGTTGGACAAGATTGTAAAAAATTAAACCGTGACTACCGCAGTTTCAGATTCCATCTCCTATAGACAGGAAAAACTTCGTTCGTGTGTTTGTGTGAACAGCAAAAGTCAGGAAAATTTCAGGGTCAGAGCTTCTTATATTTCCTGGAAATTTTCTGGAGAACATATCTGTAAACAGCATGAGATGCTGCGTCTGATGTATAAACCATACAAGCTGACCATGTTTAGCTATTTCTGTTTTGAAGTAGGATCCCCAGAGGTCTTGGGATCATGCTGTGGATCAGACAGCAGTTTCTCTCATGAATATCAGACACTCTGTAAACTCTTACTCATGGGGGCCAAAGTGAATTTGTAAAAGTGAGTTTTAAGAAGTAATTTCAAACACGTCACTTATTTCGTACGCTTCATCTGACCTGGGAGGCTGTTTTAAAGTCAAAGAGTCATCTTGAGGTTTGAGCCTCAGCTTTGGAATGACCAGAAAAGACTTGTCTGAGGATCTGTGAGAAAACTGTGCTCTGCAAGTCCTGTGAGACTCAGATGCTGATGTTTTACCTTTATTGAGAGTAGCATTGACTTGGGTGGATCTTCAGGTATATGTTGGTGAGCTCAAAGCAAGAAAATGACAGCTGAATATTAAACAGTCTATTTTTAGCTTATTAGCTAACATAAAGTAGTTAGTCACACTGTAGGGTCCAGAAGGAATAACTCCTGTTAATGTTTAACATTTGTTTAAATTGATTCAACATTTATTTTCACCTTTTATGCCAGCGATATCCTGACTGTCACTTCAGTGAGCAAACTCTACCATGCTCAACTTGTGAGGACTGTAAAGACGGCCAATGTCGCCATGGATTCGAACTTGCATATCACGCATCTGTTGACTGTGACTGCTCCTTAAACCAATACAGGAGTCATTGTTTAACTGTCTTTCCTGTGCAGACGTTAAAGTTTGATTGTGTTTCCTTACATCCTTTCAAGATTGACATATTGTCCTGTTGCTATTATTGATAAAACTTAACAGCCTGACAGCATCCATATCTTAATGAAAAGTAAAAATATTAGATACTTAATAGCACCATCTGATGTAAGTCAACATGAAAAAGTGTAGACTGTGAGACAGTGGCTGTGTCCGAAATGAATCACTCATTCCCTAACCCCTAACCCCCATATAGGATTTTATTATATAGTTGACTATGTAGTGAACTCAATCACCGGAGGTTTCGGACACTACATGGCAAGACGCAATGCATGATGGGATGCCCACCACCGGTGAGTGACCATCAGATGGTCACTATATTTTGCAATGCTTTATGGGAAATTTTGAGTCACCTATATTGGGCACTGGAATTGATCACTGAGGTTTTGGACACCCCTCAAAATGGCGCAAACCCCCATATAGTCACCTATATAGGGGTTAGGGATCCATTTCAGACACAGCCAGTGCCACTTATTCCACATGCGTTTCAAAGGGGAAAAAAACATCTTATATTTTGACCATTAAGCTGCGGTTGATACCCAACTATTTTGGAATTAGAGTCGTCATTTTCAGACTGTAGGCTTTTTTTTGGACAGGACAGCTGGAGAGAGTAAGGAAATGTTGGAGGAAGAAAGTGAGGACTGTTAACCTCTGTATATAAATGATATGTTTTAGCTTGTGTTGCCTGGACTGGCACCCTGACTGCTTTGCAAGCCGTACGATGAACAAAAAATCTGAAGAAAATGACACTGACCTCATGGAAAGACAAGTTATTATTCTGTATCTGATGCAATGACTCTTTCTCGTGTCTTTCAGACATTAGACGGCTTCATTTTCGTGGTCGCCCCTGACGGTAAAATAATGTACATATCAGAAACAGCATCAGTCCACCTGGGCCTGTCACAGGTTGGTTTGAAACACTGTCTGTTACACCTTGATGTTCTTTGGTCCTGATGAATCACAGCACTGACTTAATGTTTATCTCCACAGGTAGAGCTGACGGGAAATAGCATCTATGAATACATCCACCCAGCAGACCATGATGAGATGACCGCTGTCCTCACCGCACACCAGCCTTACCACTCACACTTTGTCCACGGTAATTAACAACACATGCGGGTTAAACTGTGTACAACTCTTTTAGCAGCATTGATTATATACTTTTTAAACTGTCTGCAGAGTATGAGATGGAGCGCTCCTTCTTTTTGAGGATGAAATGTGTCCTCGCCAAAAGAAACGCCGGTCTCACCTGTGGTGGATACAAGGTTGGATTAAAACTCTTTATTTCGTGTGGAAATGTTGGGACTGTGTCGATTATCAGGATCAAATACTGATGGAGTCAAATGAATCAATAAAAAATCATTTAATACTACAGATAAAAAATGATTGTGATTATACAATGAGTTGTCTTTATTCATGTTGGATATAAACTCTTTGAATTTTTGGTCCAATCTAACGGTATTGGTGCCCTCCTCAGTCTCAGTGGCTCTATAGTCCGTCTCCCTCAACAAAGCCAATTCAGAAATATAACCCAGGCCTTACAATGCCTTAGTTATATACTTTTATTAACAAGTATAACAGAGTTCAGGTTTAAAGTTAAAGCACGAGTATATTGTAAAATGTAAATAAGTGTTATCAAGCGTCTCTTTTGGTCCAGGTGATCCACTGCAGCGGCTACCTGAAGATCCGTCAGTACAGCCTGGACATGTCTCCGTTTGACGGCTGCTATCAGAACGTCGGGTTGGTGGCTGTTGGTCACTCACTGCCGCCCAGCGCCGTCACGGAGATCAAACTACACAGCAACATGTTCATGTTCAGAGCCAGCCTGGACATGAAGCTCATCTTCCTTGACTCACGGTGCGTCTTCACTACCTGAGGCTTTAACATTTACCTGGACACCTGCTTCATTTGTATGCAGTTAATGTAGCTTTTTGTTAATGCGAATAGACTTCAAAAATCTGTGTGTGTGTTCATGTTTGTGTGTGTGTGTGTTTGTTTCAGGGTTGCAGAGCTGACAGGATATGAACCTCAAGACCTGATCGAGAAGACTCTGTATCATCATGTCCACAGCTGTGACTCTTTCCATCTGCGCTGTGCTCATCACTTGTGTGAGTTAGGTTTGTTTTACTTTCCTACATACTCTCTACACACACTCACACACATATATATAAATATATACATGCATATATATTTATATATACATATATATATACAGTAATTTCAATGTTCAATGTTCTTGAGCAATGAAGTGTTCAAACTGCAGTTCCTTGAGTGTCCACTTGAGGCACCCATTTTAAAAAGCCCAACAAAGTCAACGTGCTCATAGTCTGGTTCTGGTCATGAAGAGCTAATTTTATTATATGCACACATTGCACAGGGGTTGATTTTTTATGTAATTGATAAGTTTTGAAGATATGACAATTTTGTTGCTAGGAACTAAAGGCCGGCTTTGCCAGTTTCTAGATTGTGAAAGTTCGTTAGAACCAGCAGTTTGAGTGTGGCTGCAGACGTTGATAGGCTAAAAAACTTTGCTTTAGAAATCAATGGGTTTCTAATAGTGCATTACTTTTGCATTTATTTAAGGGAGAGTTTCCTGTCCTAAAACCATCCCTGAAGATCTGACCGTGCATTTGTTCCGGTGCTTTCAATTCGACAAGTTCCCTGCACATGAGCTGCTATATGCATGTCAAATATGCAGAAAATAAGACCAAAAAAGTTCTCTGCTTTATACTGTGCTGCAGTTTGATTCCTTTTCCTTATATAAATCATTAGATGTCTGTTTTCCCTTCTCTTGGTCTTGCAGTGCTGGTTAAAGGTCAAGTCACCACCAAGTACTACCGTTTCCTGGCTAAGCATGGTGGCTGGGTCTGGGTCCAGAGCTATGCAACCATTGTCCACAACAGCCGCTCATCCAGACCGCACTGCATCGTCAGCGTCAACTATGTCCTCACGTGAGTATCAGACTCTCTTCAGTAAAGCGGACGGACTTAATACTTATCTGTGAAATATTTCTATTAAATAATTTATACTGAGACCAATGATGTTGTTTTGTTTACGTCTACGTGCAGTGTGGTCATTAGTGATGCACTAACCGTGAAAATGAGAGGCAGAACCCCACTCATGTTTGGAAGAACAATTGTGCCAATGCTTTTTCAGGACTTTTTTAAATGTGTGGTAAGAAATTGTATGTGTTTTACTTGGATATTAACCTCTATACGTTTTGGCATACCATTCCTGAGGAACAGACACTATCGGTTTTTCAACACTGTGTACACTGATACCAATGAAAAATAACGTCTTTGCTTCAGTGTCAACATGCACACGTGAAATATGCTGGAACTACTTTCTGTGCATTGATTTGACATGTGATCTGTTTGTCTCTGGTGTTTCTTTTGTTATACAGAGTAAGTAATTGTTGTCAAGGGGATTTAACCAATCAGATTCAAGCATTTAATACGGCCTAATAAGGCAAGAAAACTGAGTAATGAGATGCAAAAAGATATGGCTCATCTTTTTCTATATAAAAATGGAAAAATATTGATAGTTGCTTCAACTAAGACTTGGATTGTGAAGGGGTCTCAGTGATGGTGCTATAACAAATACAAGAACAGTAATCCTCATCCCACTCAGCTTCACAAACTTTAACCCTTTCCCTCAGGAGGTTTTTTTTTTTTAAATGAAAAACGTGGATCTTCTCTACTGTTTAGTCTGCATGTCAGAGAGGACAGCTGTCAGTCAGATGTTTCTGGCATCTGGCAGCTCGGGTTTAGAGGGCAGCTCAGATCTCTGCTGTGCTGTCACTCTCTGTTGTGATGAGATAATGAGTGTTGGTACTGGAGATTTACACAAACACTCACCGTGAGGCAATTAACTAGAGGTTAATTGGAAATACGACACGTGTCTGTGGAAGCATGGTGAGCAGAGTCAGAGGCAGGAGAACGTTTGTCAAGTCAGTCATATTCTGCTTTTTTATCGTTATGGTCTGGAACAAAAGAAATGTGGTTGTGAAACAGAGATGTTGGACCATTTCTCTTTCTTGGATTTTAGCTGCAGCAGACATTCCTGCTCTATCACTGTATCTGCTCTGCTGTACGTCAGAGTGTTTGAGCCTTTGTTACCCAGTTTGTAAAGTGTGCTCATGTGTTGGCTGTTACCTGTGGGGGCCCTCTCTCTCTCTCTCTCTCTCTCTCTCTCTCTCTCTCTCTCTCTCTCTCAGTCACCTGGTTCAGTTTATCTGAGACTGGCAGCTCTGCCTGCAGAGAGAATAAATACAGGCAGGCACTGAGGCTGCATTAGCTCAGCCTTTATCCTGCACACACAGTGAGGCTGAAAATCCTCATTATAAGCTGCTTTTTCTCTTCTTTGTAATAAACTCAAACCAACAGGGACTATACCGGCATAAAACAGATTCAAGTCCATATAGTTATGTTTAAGGAGTAGAGGAAATAAACATGGCTGCCAATGACTGAGCCTTCATTTGGACTAAACACAAGGTAATTGTGCCACAGCGAAAAGGATAACCCCCACCCCAACATGGACTCATCTCATATAGTTTGTGTAAAAGCCCTCTGCATTAGGCTGTACACCCTACCTTCCCGTCTCCCCCTTTTCAAGAGGGGAGGGGAATATTTTAATACTGATGAACTAACAAAATAACTATCTATATACATACAGTATGTTTGCTCCTACTTCAAACCAAAGCATCTCCTTCAACTCTCGGCCCCTATAAACTCATACAGATCTTGAAACCATATCTACAGCTCTCCCTCTTCTCTGCAGCTAAGGTCGCTGCTAAGCACAACATTTAGCATAATGCATGTGCAATAAATCAAATTAAGAATCGAATAAACTGCAGTTTATGTGATCTAATTCCAATCTATGACACTAAAAAACATTGATTTTGTGTAAAATATGGGTTTAAGTATAGTCACAGAGATAGAATGATGTAGATGAAGACATAAGAATATTTCATTATTATTAAAGCTTCAAGGAAGAGATGTGTTACCATCACACAATGGACTGATCATACTTTATATGTACTCATGCCTGTTTACAAGTTAGTGTTTAGTTTCTCACCGATGCAGCTTTAACAAAACAGGAACCTGCTGGCAGCAACCTGAATGCAAAATAAAACCATGACAAAAATCCTTAAACAAGACGATGTCCTCTCTAAAGTAGTTTCAGTCTCAGGACAAATCATCAATTTGAACATTTTCAAAAAAGGATGATGACATTCTAGTTAATTGCATTTATTTTGCAATGTTTACAAAGTAATGTTTTGCTCCATGCTTGTCTTGCCTTTCCTCGATCTGACTGAATTTGTTGTATAAGTTTTCCACAGATATTGGGATATTATTGCCATTGTGATAATTGATGACCAAATTGATTGTACAGTGAAAATCGTGTATCATGACAGCCCTAATCTATGCAGTCTTAATTTTAATTCCTCCCAATGTAATACCCACATCTTAATGCTGAAAACCTGGGAATTGAGAGATAGTTTCACATGCCTGTGATCCTTTTTATTTTATGACCCCTGATGTGCATATTTCACAGATGTTTAAGTGTGTGTATGTGTGTGAAGCAGGTCTTTTTAAAGCTCTATTAAGCGCTGAGGCTGTCTCCATTAAGAGATCAGCTGACACGTTTCCTCCTCCCTCTACCTCAAACCTGTAGCAGCGTTGCGTTTACAGCTCTTTAATTGATGGGCTGTAAACTCGATGAGTGTTTATGGGCTCCAGCATGCTGTGAAAGGAGTGTATTTTTCTGCTTGTTCTCGATCTTTTTAAAATATTGTTAAAGTTGAGCGACACGGCGACTGTGGAGGTGAAGCTCTTTGTGCGGAGTTGTTTGACCTGGTAGCCGTAGTGTACAAAGTATGATGATAAGGGCACTTCACCTGCATGTGAACTTAGTTTGTGTGTTCAGCTCTGATAACCTCTGAACCTGCTGCTGCTAACCCGACCTGACTGACCCCTGAATAAAGACACGACTGCTGCAGGAGCACGTAGGACCAGCTTTTTCCCACAAAACCTTTGCTGTTCTCTCAGTTTTGCAAATCAGTTCTTGTCACTCTGATATCTAATTCTCTAACTTTCAGTGTTTAAGAAGGAACAACAACTGTCCTTAAACAAACACAGACAAGGCTCCAAAATTAGAGAGATTGAAAGATTTATATAAGCTTACTGTTTGCATGACTACTTTTAGAGCAATGCTGGTTTTAACACTTCGATAGCATTAACCCTCCTCCTGTGTTAGGGTCTGCACTGACCTGTTTTTGTTTTTTTAATGCTTAAAAGAACCACTTAAAGTAGCTCTTTTTGCATCAAGACTTTTTGACTTTGTCAGGAACCTCTATTTCAGCAAAATAAAAATAAAAAAAATAAATAGACTAAATTATAAAATGCTATTGTTAAAATTATGGCATTTGTTGTGAAATGGTCGCTGTTGACCCGGTTCGATCAATATCTAATAATTAGAGCAAAAAATAAAATCATAAGTGCACTCACAGGCACCACACTGACAGTCATATTCTCCTCCAATCATGTGAGATTTAGGAAATTCTTATTTTGTCTCGTTTTTCCCTGCAAAAAAACAACGTCAGGCATGTCCAGACATATGAGATCAATTCAGTATAGATGTTTGTGTGAGGGGGTTACTGACAAAGAAAGGCCCAGAGGCCCACTACAAAAAATATTATAAGCAATATTTTCATGGATAATGAAGCCTAACAAGGTAACCTAGAGATGAGAACCAAATTGGATGATAGAGAATTGTTTTGAGTGTAATTTGCAGGTGATTTAAGACATGGGTCGAAACCAACCCTCAACATAGTGGGAGCGTGGTAAAAGCTAAGACAGGAGGAAGGTTAAACAAATCCTTTCTTGTAGTTAGAGGAGCTAATGTTGGTGGGAGCACAGCTTGCACAATATAGTTCTCCTGCCATGAAAGGGACCAAAAGGAGCTGTGGCAAAAGCAAACCAAGATCATTCAATACAATTGTTCAAACTATGCCATAATAGTGTTAGTACAATTGAAACTGAACTTTTTTAAACACACATAAATTTATACTTGATATGATTAGATTCCGACCTGGTGCTTGTAATCTGGGACAAAGACAGTTGTCCAGTCAAAATGCCTAACCGAGCTAGCTTGACTTAATGGTATAGAGGTTGACTATTACAGTTTTTTAATGACTGATGCTAATACTGATTTTAAGAGCGGTGGTTGGCTAATACGATAATTGTAATTGACAAATGAAAAACAAAACAGCTCAATGTGAGTTTATATTTCATAAAGTAAAGGAAGATGGTAAAATATTTGGCTAAGTTAAACATTGCCACAAGGGACTTTGGATTTCTGTCCAGCTCTCTTTAAGTGTTGAGATATTATTAAGTAAATAGAAAGGTTAAACAATAAAAGAAAGTTGTGAACAGATTCATGACTTAAACAGAATTAAAATCAAAACACCAACCAGTGAGTGTTTTAAATGTGATCTGCTGTAAATGAGTGATGAGAAAATGCATATTCAGTCAGAAATGGTAATGGTGATGTGAGTCCTGTAAGGGCTGATGCTGACATGATGCTGATTGATTAGTCTGTTTTTTACCTAACTGTGCATGTCAGTGTAATGATTGACTTTGTCATCTTGTTTTTTCTTTGTTTATGTGTGTGGACTTCATCAAAAAGAAAGAGCTTTAGTGTTTCCACGTAGAAAGCAAGGACAACAGTGATGATCTTTTGGTGACTGTGTTGCTGTTTCTCATTTTTTCACCTTTAATTTACACATTTTCAAAACAATGAATTTATATGTTGTGATTTCTTTGTGTGGCAAAGATTGAGCCAAAAAGAGCATAGCATGACAGACCAACATAGTCCAGTTTATCTGAAAAGAAGAAGTGATCTAATTAAAATTATTGGTTGGATTAATGAAAACAGAACCTGTTGGTTAATTTTTGTTGTACACAGTAAAAAATTCAAAGTTTGGTATCGTAATGATACATAAAGGAGATCTTGAAGAGTTTAGCAGCTGCAATCTTTCAAAACTTTAGAAACTAGTCTCCTCAGTTCCCAAACGTCCACAGAGCGTTGTTAAAGGACAGCTGATGCAACACAACCACAATCACGTCTCTTTCCCAACTTTTTGAAACCAGATGCTGGCATCAGTTTCTGAAATGGGCACATGTGTTTCATGAAACAATAACATTTTTTAGTTTCACATTTGGATGATTTTGAAGCCGTTAAATTCTGTTTTTATGAAATTTTTACCAACTCTTCTGGAATTTAGGCGTTAATACATGAAAAACGTAGATATCTTCTTTAAGCATAACTGATGCAAATCCTCTGAGACATGCCTGCACCTATGAGTTTGTTTGTGTGGAGAGAGATTGAGATGGAGGACAGATATGTGCCGATGATGGATCACTATTTGTCTAAAGTAAACCCTGTCCAGGTTTTCTGTTGTCTCAAACTTGATTCATCATTCGTGGTGAGATCTGTAGAACACTTTAGCGAGAAATCAATTCCCATTTCCCAGAAGTGAGGTGTCCAAGCTTCTCCTCTGGGCCTGATTTAGCCAGACATAGCTTTTAATCTCCTGGTGTATTTGATTGGACAGCTTTCTCTCTGTAGAGTGTTTGTTGAAGGCCTTGCTGCAATCCTTCTGGTAAAACAAGCATCCCAACAGCCCTCCTGGCAGCTTCACACACACTCTCAGAAACACAAACACACATCTCTGCATGCTAACCCTCTGTGCACCACAGTGGAGCTCTAATTGCTAAACAGATGTTAATGGGTTTTTGCACCTAGAGGAAAACCAAACATGGTGGAACACATAGGCTGTTTGTGCTCTTTAATAAACAGTCTTTCCAGGGACAGGGATCTCTGCTTGTGTAATTATGGATGTCTAAATACAATACAAGCAAATGTAAAACTTCAACAACAACAGGTAAAGGACTGTACTGCTTGTGTTTTCAGGGAGACAGAGTACAAAGGCCTCCAGCTTTCTCTGGACCAGGCAACATCCAAGGCCTCTTTTCCCTACAACATCAGCACCTCCAGCAGCCTCGCAGAGACCTGCAGAACCCCCAAGAGCAGAATATCCCGGCCTAAGACCAAAGCCAGACTCTCGCCTTACACACAGGTGAGGATTTGATGTCTGACTCATATACTGCAGTGGACATTGTTTCGATTTTAGAACCAGCTGTCTGTTTATTGGCCAACACTGGGCCACTTGGTTGGTTGAGACAAAGTTTCTGCGGGTTTTATTTTTAAATCTGTGCCTTTGTCTTGTTAATGACTAAGCCCTGTGTCTTTGAGTCAATACCTTTTGAGTTGTTGTCTTTTTTGCCCAAAGCCTCACAGTACAATATGTATTATGATACAGGAGCCACTATATTGTGATACATATTGATTTTGGCCGATGACCACGTCTTAAACAGAGTTTACTGCGACAGCTGTTCCTTATTGTACTGAGTAATGGCAAAGACATAGTTTTAAAGCCTTTAGACATCCAACAAGGAAATGAAATTAAAGCTGCAGCAGCAACAAACAGTCCGTCATGCATTAGTCCACATTAGTGTATGTCACAGCTGCAAAGTGGGAAGAGGCTGCCGTTTGTGAAGCAGCTGCAACCATGCACCAGTTGGTGGAGCTCTCACCTGGTCAAGACAGTTAGCATGTGCCATTTAAAGCACAGAACAATGGAGCACAGGCTTTCACTAGTAGGTGGGGCTATGACTTTAACCGAGTATCTGTCTGTGAGAGTATTCACGACCCTGCGCTAGTGGAACAGTTAAGTCTGTAGCTAATTCAAAATTGTTTGTGGGAATTCTTCTTATAAGTGGTGCTAAAACTATGAGCAAAATGGACGTAGATTGGTTCACACTGGGACTGTCATCAACCATGTGAGGTTTGGAGCAGATAGGGTACTGTATGTGACAGTTACTGCCATGTATTACCACAAGGTGGCGCTATGATTGTAGTAGAAAAAATAGCATACAGGTGTGCTCAGGTTAGCCTTAATCGTGTGTATGATATTTGGAGTAGATCGAACACTCCATGAAGGATCGACAACAACTTCCTGTTGAGCTGCCAAGGTCACATGACTTCACATGTGAAAGATCCTTGAAAATCTTAAAATCTTGAATGTGTTTACAACACATTGTTCTAATTTGGAGTTTACGGACAAACCTAAAAGACATGTTCATTCCTGTCCAATCTGAAAAAGGAAATCAAAATCAAAATGGCCAACTTCATCTTGGGTTTAGGGCATGGGTGATGGAAAATAGATTTTAAGGTCTGGTTGGAAGAATTAGCACACACAATTCGTGACATGTGGGTGAAAGTAGCCCCTATTGGGACTTCACACTACACAATAAGTCATTTTTACTAAATTGTGCAGGAGACCAATAGTAAATACATTTTTCTGCCAGACCTGTGATGTTCGGTGACTTTTTAGGCATGTAAAAGTCAACCAAATATGCAATATGCACATACAAAGAATAAAAAGAATCCATAAAGTCCAATCAGAGTTTCCATTCAAATTTTTATTTCTCACATTGCAAAAGATAACCAAACCTTTTAATGTTACCACCAAAAATTGCACCATCTCATTGGGGGATTTCTCTGATTATTTTTCTCTTTGCTGCTCTAACATTTCTCTGCAGTACCCCAGTTTCCAGACAGAGCGGTCAGAGTCAGATCAGGACAGTCCGTGGGGCAGCAGCCCCCTCACAGACTCAGCCTCCCCTCAGCTGCTGGAGCACAGTGAAGGACCGGACGCCTCTTGTGTGTACAGACAGCTCTCTGATCCCCGAACACTCTGCTACAGCTTGTCCGAGGAGCAGCATCACACTACTAGTGACGGCTACACACACCTTCACACGCACAGCCAGGGTCAAAGCTGTGAGAGAGGTCGCTGTGAGGCAGGGCGGTATTTTCTGGGAGCTCCTCCATCTGGGAGGGATGCATGGTGGGGCACTGCGCGGTCCATCCTACCCCTGAGCAAGAGCTCGCTGGAGAACCAGGAGGGATATGACAACAGCATGCCACACATCACAGCCATCCACAGCTACCATGGTGAGGACTGAAATCCAGGCAATGTTCACTGTAGAGACAAAAGCTTTCAGAGTTGTATGCACAACAGCCTTTTCAAATTAAATTTCCCTCTTCTTTGACTCCCCCTCTCTACTGGCAAACACTTTACAAACCCATTATTTACTACCTCATAATACATAACTTGAGCAGTTTCATGCACAAGTCTTTTAATATCATAAAGTATACAAATATAAAGTATACAATTTAAAGAACAAAAACATACTCCTGAGATCTAGTAAGATTTGTTATTCTTATCATCCTTTTGTGCAGCATCTGTATCTTTTGTAGATGTTTTATAAATGTCTCCCTGAACTCTAACACTGTAGGACAGATGGTGAAAATAGAGCATGGTTTTAAGTATGTAATGGTTCTTGATTTAAAATGTCTGGCTTTTTTCAGTCTTTCACTGCTTCTGTGGACCTTTAGCCTTGCGGTCAATTAAAACATGCAGAAACTTGCTTTTATACACTCCTTCAGTTTGCACTTTATCTATTTCTAAATTAATTCCTGCTGCCTCTAAATGTGCGATCTCAAATATCGTAGCTTTAGTTTTGTGCAAGTTTAAGAATAGCTCACTGGTATTTAATTTGTACATTTCCTCTTTGATCAACCCCAAAATCCTCTGCAGATCATTCGCAGAACTTAACTTTTTTTTTTTCCTCTACCAGGAAAATGAATTTTAGAAAATCCAGATACTTTACTGACATACAAAATAAGTAATTAGGGTTCAAATATTAACTGTTAGACACGACAGGTTAATTCTAAGCAACTTGACCAATGCTGTCCAAACTGAACAAACTGCTTCCTGCTTGTCTGCCTCCAAACATATCCTGTTCTTTAGCAATATTTCATGATCATTGTGCCCTGTGCAGGCCGAGGACACTGGGATGAAGACAGCATTGTCAGCTCTCCAGAAGGAGGTTCAGCTAGTGACTCAGGGGATCGATACCAAGCAGACCACTACCGCTGCAGCCCCCAGCAACCCAGCAAGATCGAGACGCTGATCAGAGCAACGCAGCAGATGATCAAGGAGGAAGAAAATCGACTTCAGCTGCGAAAGGGCCTTCTGGACGCCCCTTTGGGACCAGCCAATGGGCTGCCAAAGGGTCCTGGACCGTGTTTAACTTCAGAGTACACTCAAGGTTCCCTGCCACTGCAGACCGTAGTGTGCCGAGGTTTGAGTCAGGTGGTCAGCCCTGCACAGAGTCCTGTCCCTGTGTCCAGGCTTAGCAGTCCGGGGTCTGAGCGCCTCAACAAGCCCAAAGACTACCTCCAAACAGACCTGACCCCTCTTTCTTTGCCATTACACCACCCATTTGGTCGGTCAGGCCCGTGCTCAGATTCCCCCACCCCAGCACCGGCCCTCTACCCCTCCCACACCCACCCACGCCCCTACTTGGACAAGCATACAGCTTACTCCCTGACAGGGTACACTCTGGAGCACCTCTACGACCCCGAGAACCTCCGCGGCTGCTGCTCCTCCACTAGCACAGGCCCCACCCACTACGATATGACCCCTCACCTCCGCATGCCGGCAGAGCAGACCCCCGGACACAAAGGCACCTCTGTCATTATCACCAACGGCAGCTAACACTCATCTCAAACACACAGTGGGACCGTTTCACACTGCTGGACTGGTCAGGTCCAAAAAACACAAGGCTGTCATCATGAGGGATCCTGTCAGCTGGTTTTTCATCATCCTGGTCAATTCTGATTGTAATCTTAAAGTTGCTTTTTTTGGAGCAGTATGTTGTAACTCTTTCGCACAGGTGTTACTCAAATTCAAACTTAAGTCTTTCTAAAATACGAGTCCAATGTCCAATGAGTCCAAATGAATAATTTGATGATATTTAGGAAATTCACCTAAAGCCATACATCATTTACTCTTGGTTTCATGTCAAAAAAAATTAAAGTTTAAAGCAAAATATGAAAAGAAAAACAGGTAACAACTCTTTTCCAGTTTTGTTCTCACATCAAAAACAGAAATTCAAATTCAACTTTATTTGTATGGCACTTTTCATACAAAAAAACGCAGCTCAAAGTGCCTCACAGAGGCTAAAAACAACAATTAATGACAATAAAACCCAACCCTCCCACATGCACACAAAGGCACACTCACTCACTCACTCACTCACTCATACATACACACACACAACCGCACACAGTGTGAGGATTTAAGATATATTGTTAGAGACACATGGCCTGACATCGAGACATTACGTGAGGAAAGAGCCACCTCTGGGAAACACTAGAGATAAATATAAAAATAAAAATGGTAAAAGGAAAGACTAAGACCTGATGGACTGAAACAAGAAAATAATATTAAATGCACACATACGTAAAAGCTCTTTACCATATAAAAAAGGGGTAAAAGAAGTAAAAACCTGTGACGGCAATTAAGAAAAAGACTAAGAACAGAGATGATTAATAAAATGACTTAAAAAAAAACAATAAGAACTTCGATTAAAATCAACATTTGCAATAAGAGAAATATAAAAAGGTAATTAGTAAAGAGCCTGGTTAAAAAGGTGAGTCTTGAGCCTCTTCTTAAAAACATCAAATAATGACTAACAGGCTCTCAAATCCTACTTGTACCATATTGTTTGTTCTTATAGTCAAACTCAGGGGGCGTCACTCTATGTGGTAAATAACATAATCCTGAAAAATCTAAAACACTGCAGACATTTCACCACTCTCTGAACGAATACAGTGCTTAAACCTCGTTTTTGTTAGACAACTAAAAAGCTACTAAGGGGCCTTGTCCACTAAGGATTTTTTTTTTTGGACAGGCAGCAGCCATTACCTCATTTTAGAGTGCTTCTCATCACTGTTTACTGTTGCTAGGTTACAAGAGTTGTCCCACAGCACTTTCACTTCACTTAGCAGTGACCACTAGGTCTGTTTTACAATGCTTAGTATGCTCCATATTTGCAGCTTTTTTTAAAGGTTGTAGAAATCATATCTTAGCATTAGCAGCATTTCTAGTTCTGATATTGAACATCAATAAAATAAGTGTGATCAGTTTCTCTTCTGTTCAGTTCCCTAACCATTGTTGTTGACAAAGACCTGATCAGAGATCCCTAGCTTTCTCAATCCTGATTAGTTGGTGGTGTTTAAGTGACATTCATGAGCACAAAAGTTTCAAAAATCAAACTATTTTCATCTTCTGGGTGCGTAGCAACAAAAAAACGGCTGATGCTGGGCTGTTTTACACCACAGGTGCGCAGGGCTAAAAAGGAAAAAGGGCGCTGCATCAGTCAACACAGCTCATTTCTCCTTTCCCATCATACTTCTAAATTTTCTTCCTAAAAAAACATATTATTATTGGAAGTGGCTCAATGCTATTGTTAGCTATGTTGTGATGTTCAATGATTTATTAAATGTCTTTTTTTAACTTAAAATACTTCTAAATTATTTCACTATTGTCTTCACGTATGCTAATTGGTCAGAGAGTGGTGAAATTATCACAACTGGTCCAAGCATTGAGGTCTGTACAAACTTAAGACTTGGAACGCAACAACTGGGTACAACAGCTGTGTCCAAACCTAGGGACTGCAGTCTCTGAAGGATTTAGCCGTTGCCGCCTGTATAGACCGGATGGATTGAATTAAGACAATCTACTCATTAGACCTGGACAAAGTAGGACACATTTGTTGGACAAATCTGATTTTGATCTGAGCACAAAATTGGGATTAAAAAAAAGTCATTTTCTGCTTTTGCATTCAAGTGGTTTCTCTTTTGTGTGTTTTAACTTTTGGCTTTGTGTGGAGATTTATGGATCCTCTTTTCAAAAAATAAAAAGAGGAAACTGTAAAATTATCAGACTAATTTAACAAAAAGGGAATCTCAGCTGGTTGGACCTGCCTCTTACATCCTTTCCTTTTCTTCAGTTTAGTTTATAGTGAGATTATTATTTTTTTGGATCCAAGGACTCGTCTCCACAGGGATATCATACTCAAATAAAAATGATGTGACAAAATGACATTTATATAGCCATGACACTTACGTTTGAGTTTGGTGTGAGTAATATTTTAGAAAGAAAACCAACAATATTTTCATCAGAATTGATCAGAATGATGGACACTGAGCTTTGGTGGAAGACAGCTGGAGTTCTGCTCGATGTGTGTTCTGTTTTGCACAATGAGAAACTGAGTTTTGACAAAGAAGGTCTCCTTGTTTTTGAAGCATTTGGATAAGGGAACTGACAGGGTGGGTGTGGTGCACTTTGCAATGATGCAGGCTTACTCATCATCACCAATTAATATGCAAAGCCATTCTTTTCATGTTTCTTTTTGCCAGTTTTTTTGTGTATCCTGCAGGAAAATAAATACAGGAAAGAAAAAGGCTGATACATCGAGGCTCCTGTGGTGAACAGCGGGTACTGAGACAATGTTTGACACCTGCTGCATGGTGAATAATCATGGTACAGGGAAAATATGTGGTTGATAAGACTATGAAAGATCGGATTTATACCCTAGACTAGCCTTCTCGCTTTACCAGGAAGTCCAACATCATTGAAAAAATGACAGACGGTGGAGACAGACGGTAGATGGTGACATATTTGAGGTTCTTCATCCTTTCTGAGTGACTGCAGGATGATGAACACTTGTGAGCATATACAGTTTGACCTGTTTGAACGCCCTGTGAGGCAGCTGACGTCTGCTAATTATCCCTGAAACAACTGTTAATTATTGTTCTGTGGGCATGTTTGTAAAACAGGATTCAAGTTTCTTTTTTTTCTTGGATTTCCTTTTTCATGTCCTCCTCAGTCCTTAGATGAAACTATATTTATACGAGTTTGGATTTTTTTGTTTTGTCTAAGCCTAAAATGTGCTCAAAGTTATTTATGGTGAACTGTAAATAAGCTCTGGAAAGAAAAACCCTGCCACATTTAAGCACATAGACAAAACCTGTATTTATTAAGCAAAAGTTTCTTTATGATTTTGAAATATAGCTGCAATCAAATGTGTGTCTATTGAGTGTGTTTTTGACTGATTATGAATCCAAAAGAGGATTAAATAAAAACATTTTGCAAAGATGTTGTTTCTTGACCTACTTTTCCATTCAAACATGACAACAAGAGTTTTTCAGGAGCCAATGGAAGATGGTTTTAACAAGCGTTTGACAGGTTTGTATGTTTGTTTGTCTTAGTTTGTGATGATTTTCACACTCACCATAGAGGTTTGTTTTTTTTGTCTTTCAGATTTTTTCCAATCCTGTCTCCTTACAAATATGTCATCCTCATTTCTTTTAACCAACAATTGTTTCACACATTGGGGAATACTGGTTGAAGAAAATGTCAAAAGAAGTTTTTGCTGCGTGCCTTGAATTGTCTTATCTAACACCGACCCTGCAGCAGCTGTTACAGCCAATAAAAACAACAGTATTAAGATCACTACTCTTCCTGCTGATGGTGTTTTCTAGGTCCAAAAAAGACATTAGTGTCAGTTTGTGAGTGTTTCATAACCAGGTAATTCTTACATTTATCTACAGCATTACAAATAATTAGAGCTGTTGATGTTTCTTTTTTTCCTCCTTAGTTCCGATTTAAATCCTGTTAATTTGGATTTTAAAACAGCTTTTTAATCCATATTAACATTGTAAAACACTTTTGCCAGCGGGATCTTTTATAACTTTATCTTGTTGTAAAAGATCAGTGAAAGCATAACCAGTGATATAAAATGAAAATTTCTGTAATTTTCAAATGGAAAAAAAAATTTGTTATGAATACTTTTAACACGACTTTGGGTGCTTGAAGAAAAGTGAGATATCAATCTAAATGCACATTAAAGAAATACAGTCCTAATATGACTTAGTTATTTTATTAAGGATTACAATGTTACACACTGAGAAAGATGCAGGGTTGCATGCACAGAATCCATTATCATATCCATATCAATCATTATCAATACATTATCCGATATCATTATAGTGTGCAGATACGTCGAAATTATTCTGATTTACTACAGATGTCCAGGGACTCCTGGTTAATTTGACAACATTTGCATTTTCCAGAAGTTCCTGTTTGGTTGCTTTCTCTGTTTCATACAGGCCCGATGTGTACATGAACTTTGTTTCCTGTGATGAGAAGACATATTACATATATTGATTTTTAAATAAAAAGTAACAGAACAGCTCATACTTTTTTCCTTCAAATCACAGTTGTTTATTTTATGTTACATGTTCTTTTGCTCTCATTGTGTGGGGCTGAGAAAATCCAGTATTTGGTGAGCCGGAGTGGGGCCTCATCATAAATTCTGCTGAGGGCCTAACTTTAAACCAGAGGCAGCATTAGGTGTTCATTAGTAATGGCTGTATAATTACAAATATACACTGCATACTATTTTTGTAAAATAAACGAAATCATTTAAACACAATATTTGAGATGTCAAATCTGCGCTGTGTTTTGGAGCACGTCCAAGCCTGCTTTGCTGTTGACACTGCTTCTTGCGTCCTTATTGGTCTCTTAGTAACACTTTTGCCCCTCATGGTCGAGGTCACGTCAGCCTCATTGCAAAACCTGCAGGAGAGGACAGGAGCTGCTAAAGTGAAGAATAACCAGTGTGATGAAAGGCTTTTAATCTGAAGGTA